ATATATACACCTTTGTTTGTATATCTTTATTTTTTACCCACAATACAATATATATCTATATAATGGATAATATAAATATTATCTATTATATAAATAAATAAATGAAATAAATAAATAAATAAAATAAATAAATATTTATTTATTTATTTATTTATTTAAGATTGTCTATAGCTTGCTCTAATTCTGTTTTTCTTACACCAACAACAGTTTGTACAACTTTACCATCTTTATAAAATTTAAATGTTGGCATTGCCTGCACCTCCTCCCTCTCACATAATTCAGGATTCTCCTCTACATCTACCTATAAATAAATAAATAAATATATATATACTATTTATTTATTTATTTATTTATTTATTTATTTATTTATTATATATAGAGTGCTATATAATACAGGGAGAAGGAAAGAAAGGGCAGGATGTAAATATAACAAGAAAAAGATCATTATTATGAATATATAGGACTGCATGCATCTATAAATGTACATTTGTATACTGCACATGCACACAGCAACACGGAGAAGCAGCAACACCAACAGCAGCAACCCCAACAGCACCAGCAGCAGCAGCAGCAGCAGCAGCAAGTTATGTAGTAGACCTACAGCATAGAAGGAGATGTGTGTAAGAGTGTTGCTTTTTTCCTCTAAGAAGGGTTTAATCATCTTGCATGGACCTAAACATCATCATACATACACCGTAAATATATAATACATAATTAACTGCAGCTAATGCGACGGGAAAGCAGCAGCAGCAGCAGCAGCAGCAACAATATGCAGCATTGGTAGCAGCAACGGCTGTTAACAGTCATGTCTAAGGGGATGGTAACAGCAACAGAAACAACAAAAGTAACAGCAGCAGCAACAGCAGCAACACCAACAGCAGCAGCAGCAGCAATACTACTTGCACTTACCACACCATGTTGCGAAGAAGTCGACGATAACGAGGCCCGACTTGACGGCCTCATCGAACTCTGCAGAGAAAAAAGAAGAGAAAAATGCACCTCCTTAATATACCTTATAAAGGGCAAAGGGAGAGAAAAAGCAGATACAACAGCAACAGGAGCATGTAAATACACCATAAAATAAAGCTTATGATGCTGCAACGCCTGACAATATACACAAAGCGTAAAATAAGTTCTTCTCCTCTAACAGATCCTCTTCTTTGGGGGTGTAGAGGAGAGAAGAAGTTTGCAAGAAATGAATGAATCGCTTTGTGTCCTGAATGTGTTGATGCTGCTTTATGCATTGCTCAAGGGTTCGCTTCCGCTTTCGTGTTGCGAAGAATAGGAAATGCATAAGAAGAAATGCCTTTAAAAGGGAAAATAATGATTAATTACATGAAAAACATACACTGACACCGAAAATACACGCAGACGCCATCATCACAATGCAAAGGAAACAGCAACAGACATGAACATACCCTCAATGCCTTTGATGTGTTTGACCGGCATCCTGACGACGAAGGAAACTGAAAATGAATAATAAACGTTAAAAGTTGAGTTCAAGAAAATTGTACACGAAAAAACAAGTGCAATGTGATCCGCTTTCCCCCCCCCCCCCG